TGCTTCCTCGCCTCTTTCACGAAATGAAAAATAACAAAAATAAAAACCTACCGAAAGACCCCTTCTACTCACATTACGCTGTAGGAGACATAAAAAGCAGAAAATGCAGGATAAAACGCAATTATTCACTTTAATATATATATATATATATATATATATATATATATATGTGTGTGTGTGTGTGTTTGTGTGCGTGCATTGAAAAAATGAAAAAGTCTTAATTTTTCTTATCATTAAAAGGCATATTTTATTTATTATCCGTATGAAGTCCTTTAGTTATTCACGCCTTTGCAATAAAACTAAATATCTCTAGCAACAAGTGAGTTCTTTGTTGTCCTATAATATAGCGGGGTGTTGTTCGTGAAATAATTGTTGATATAATAAAGCAGTACTGAGAAAACGATAATATTCAGCCCCTTACAGTTACTGAAACAATAAACATCATAAAAAGCTCTGTTTTAGTTCCCTCTGATGAAGAACTGCATATATAACATCCCATACAGTTTTATTTGTTATTCGTCGAAAATACCCAACCCGTTAGTCTAGGGCAGTGAATAGATAATTGTGATTCAGACATACTTCCTTTCTATGTCTGGTGCTGCTACAGTGTTCGAGTTCATAGAACCAACGGTTGAACATTTAAACTTGCTTCCTATTTTACCCGGATGTAACTGTTCTTTGAAAAGTTATTTTCTATACTAGAAATATTATTAGTATCAATTTTGAATTTGTTTTTATATGGAGCACTAAAATCATTAATTTTTAATAAGCTGTTTCTTACATATTAATTTTAATTGAAATTAATGTGAAATACCAATGGAAATTTAATAATATCAATACTATCTGTCGATATTTCTGAGATGAGGTATCATGTACACTATTTACATTATTCAGACTATTGTGCTCATCTTTGTCGCCATATTTATTACAACGTTTCGGCCTTTCAGTATCTGTCGATATTTCTGAGATGAGGTATTATGTACACTATTTACATTATTCGGAATATTGACCTCATCTTTGTCGCCATATTTATTACAACGTTTCGGCCTTTCAGTATCTGTCGATATTTCTGAGATGAGGTATTATGTACACTATTTACATTATTCGGACTATTGTCCTCATCTTTGTCGCCATATTTATTACAACGTTTCGGCCTTTCAGTATCTGTCGATATTTCTGAGATGAGGTATTATGTACACTATTTACATTATTCGGACTATTGTCCTCATCTTTGTCGCCATATTTATTACAACGTTTCGGCCTTTCAGTATTTGTGTATATTTCTGAGATGAGGTATTATGTACATTATTTATATTATTCGGACTATTGTCCTCATCTTTGTCGCCGTATTTATTATAACGACACATGGCGCAGTGGATAAAGGCGTTAGTTAGATCCCGTGTGAGTTCAATCCATCTTCGCAGAAAAAGGGAAGAGATGAGAGAAAAGTAAGTGAGCAAGCTTGTGTCTGCTATTTATAATTAATGTAATCACGTGATAGGATCACAGAAAAATGGCAGGAAAACTTGGTCACGCGCTGGAAAAATATTTGTACGTGGGTGGATTGCAACGCCCACTTGTGTGTTTATTGACCAATTAGAAGCTGATATTTCCTGAAAATCTGTACGAAGCTGGGTAACTTTTGATCCTCGTTTTTGCAAGTTGTAGCGGATTGCTAAAATTTCATCCACAAAGAAGGCGATAAACCCCTTAAAACGCAAAGGGTTACCGAATGTGAAAGCATATGAAAAAAAATTGTGGATTAGAAAGGAAAATGGAGGAAAGAACAGAATTCAGGGAGACAGATGATGACGATTGAAGTTGCATTTAAATTTTACAAGTTGACAGGTAAGCCAGAAGCTGGAAGAGAGTCCCACAGGCGGGAAAGTACCCCTCCGTGTCTCGATACTGACGAGATGTATTTTTGTCAAAATTACTTGAAATGGGACCCCCAAGTGGAAGCGCATTGTGTTTTATGACCCACAACCAAGAGCATCTTTCTCGAATCACGACAATCTTACCTTGTGGAAGTCGAGGATCAGTTGTTATCATTCATAGAAGACCTCATAATCTACACTTTTTGACTAATACTTTTATTATTTACACTATTTATATTCGGACTATTGTCTTCACCACTGTTGTTTTTATCACAAGGTTTCTGCTGTTGCGCTCTCCAGCCTTCATAAGGTGCATATCATTGCGTTTAACCTACAGAGAGCGATGCACTTGGATTCAGTGAGAAAAAAGGCAAGAAATAACTGAGCCGTCCTACAAAATAAGAATTAGATGAGGTATCACTAGACATGGACAGTGGATCGAGAACAGTCTACACCCGTAAGTGCTTCAGTTCGGAATTCAGTGTATTTTAGCCAGATCGATAAACACCTGATGAAGGTCCGAGTATACAACAGCCGAAACGTCGTGATGACAAGAAAAAGATGAGCACAGTAGTCCGACTGTAAATTTCTCCTTTAAAAGATTCAGACAATAATTACACACACATATATATATATATATATATATAGAGAGAGAGAGAGAGTCATCAAAAGACAGACTGTTTCGCTGTATAACAGCTCATCAGTGTGGCTAGACCTTCGGTTGCTTCTAGCTAGGATCGAAACCCGACTGAGTTAGTGTCAGTCGGGTATTCTACCATTCAACCATTGGTGCACGGCAGGGAAGAATATGAATTTAAGCGTAATTATTTTTAGATAAACCTACAGTGACTGAGAGAACTCGATTCGATTTACCGAAGAGTCATGCATTATTAGCCGTAATAGTCACTGTTTACAAACACACACTTCCTCCACAAAGAGCTCAACCGACGTCTATATATATATATATATATATATATATATATATATATATATATATATATATATATATAAAAAAAAGAAAGAACAGTAAGATATATAATCCGGTGTTCTTATAGATATTTTTATTTTTACAAAATAGTGCTCAATGTAAATTTACAGAGCATTAATATTATAAATTAATTGATTTAAAATATGTTTTTTTTCGCTACACAGTTCTAACCATGTTTCAAAAATAGAAGCTAAAAGCCCCGAATTTAATTTTGCAATTAAATTAAAAGCATTAATCATTAATGTTCCAACACGTTAGAATACGTCAAATCTATGGACAGATATAATATGGTTACATTTTCGATTAGAGCACACTTCAAGCTATCTTTTGTGAAATAATGTTTAAAATTACTTAATTTGTGACAATTTTGCATCCCTATGAAAATGTAAGATTATAAGTTGCATTTTAGACAGTTGATGCTTTTTTTTTTGACCAGTAAGCGACATGAGCTCATTTATATACCTCAAAAGCAACTCTTCATCCTAAAAAAGTCATGCTGGGCATCTGATTAGACTGGGAAGGAATACTGTACTATGTGTATTTGCCAAGTTACCAGTCAATTGATTCTGAAAAAATATTGCACGAAGCTGGATGAATTAAAGGTAGACATTCAAGAAAAAACGCCCAGAATTGACAAACAGGAAGTGTGTCATTTTTCATCAGGTTAGTTTCAGACTTGGTGACCCACACAAAATTGTTATAGTTTGACTGGGATGAGTTACTCCACCTGCCAATTTCACCAGACATTGCTTCTTCGGATTTTCATTTATTCATCTCCTTGCAAAATAAACTTTTATTTGTCGAGAAACCATCGAAATTCTGTGAAGATGGAATCTTTAAGTTGAAAGAAAAATGGAGAAACATATATTTCGTTGAATAAATACTTAATGGCACAATTTTGTTTTCTGTTTTAATTTCCATTATATATATATATATATATATATATATATATATATATATATATATATATATATATATATATATATATATTTTCATTAAATAATATAGACAAGTGTTGTATATTTATTTTATGTAAATTTTTTTCGTAACGTCTGATAAATTTAATAACATTATCTTTGAACGAAGAAAGAAATTCAAAATATTGATTCATATTTTTTTAATACAATCTAAGCTTTCGGCTTACGTAAGCCATTATCAAAGATGTCAATTACAACATATTAAGCAATATACGGACAAGACAGTGATGATAGTCTGTCATTGTTTACATAGATGATTTCTAAGCAACGATAAACACGTGCATATAAGACGCTAGAAGCGAAAATCGCACCGAATCTCATGACGTCACACATGACCAAACGATATATATATATATATATATATGTGTGTGTGTGTGTGTGTGTGTGTGTGTGTGTGTGTGTGTGTGTGTGTGTGTGTGTGCGCGCGCATGTGGAGTAAGGGATAGCGGTTTGGATTGAGGAATCGGAGAGCCGATTTCGAATTCCAGTCGAATCTATAACATTCGCTTACGTGCTAATAAACTTGGGAAAGGGGTATCCTCTTCATCTCCCTCCAGCTATGGGTAAATAGCAGGGCCGATAGCCTAGGATGGCAACTGGTCTAGGAGAAGGACAACTCTGAATTCAAAACCTGCGGAGGGTCGTTTGGGGACCCTGTGGCACGTAGTGCATCAATTCTCTTTACTCGGCCCTTCAAAAACTGTGGATGGTTCTGCACAAAACCTTCACCACTATAATCAAATCTCGTGTGCTGGTGTCGTGCGGTAGGTTTCCCAGGAACTGATCTGCTTGACCCTCATACGTCGAATTCGACGGAAGAGTCGAGTATAGGCATGGCTACTTTCATCGTGAGCCAACACATGAGTCCGTTTTTCCGTGAAAGTAAACGATTCATCTAGTGTCGTAGAATAACGTGCACCTGGAATTTATTTAAGCGAGATAGTTATGTACTTTCCCAGTGGCTTGTCCGATGCCCGCCATCTGCTTTCTGTTGCAAAGGCTGCCCCGAGAAAGGCGACGTGCAAGGATGCAGTTTATATTTTGTTGTGACCTCCCCATAGATAGATTGATTTGCAAGGCTTCAGAGCCCCCTATATGCCAATCAAGTTTGCCTTCAGGACAGTTTTGAATTCAGGGTTCTCCTTTCTCTTCAACCACATGTCCAATCGCTCGTTTCTGAGAATCCCAGTCTACTATAGTTTTCTTTTATCTATCTATCTATCTATCTATCTATCTATCTATCTATCTATCTATTTCAGTTTTGTCATTTCTATCTACCATAGTCTGCTAATATCTATCTATCTATCTATCTATCTATCTATCTATCTATCTATCTATCCCAATCTGTTTCTATCTATCTGTCTATCTATATATCTATCTATCTGTCTATTTCAGTTTTGTCATTTCTATCTACCATAGTCTGCTAATAGCTATCTATCGATCTATCTATCTATCTATCTATCTATCCCAATCTGTTTCTATCTATCTGTCTATCTATCTATTTCAGTTTTGTCATTTCTATCTACCATAGTCTGCTAATATCTATCTATCTATCTATCTATCTATCTATCTATCTATCTATCTATCCCAATCTGTTTCTATCTATCTGTCTATCTATATATCTATCTATTTCAGTTTTGTCATTTCTATCTACCATAGTCTGCTAATATCTATCTATCTATCTATCTATCTATCCCAATCTGTTTCTATCTATCTGTCTATCTATATATCTATCTATCTGTCTATTTCAGTTTTGTCATTTCTATCTACCATAGTCTGCTAATATCTATCTATCTATCTATCTATCTATCTATCTATCTATCTATCTATCCCGATCTGTTTCTATCTATCTATCTATCTATCTATCTATCTATCTATCTATCTATCTATCTATCCCAATCTGTTTCTATCTATCTATATATCTATCTGTCTCTTTCAGTTTTGTCATTTCTATCTGCCATAGTCTGCTAATATCTATCTATCTATCTATCTATCTATCTATCTATCTATCTATCTATCCCAATCTATTGCTTTGTTTCGTTGTTTCTTTGTTTCTATCTATCTATCTATCTATCCTCTTTGGGTCATTTCATATCTATCTATCTATCTCCTCTTACGCTCAAACACCAATTTCATTCAGTAACACTCTACCTTGAGTGGCTCATACGCGTTCTATTCGGTGAACAGTTATTAAAAGAAATCATATGTGCATAGATAACATCAACAATAATAACTCTTCCGCTATATAAACTGCACCTTATGAAGCTTTAAAAATGTAGAGAAACCCCGCTGGAAAGTGCTTAAGATAAAAGAGACAGAACATATGATCTGGTCCAAAAATATGGCAAACATAGTGAGTTGGGAGATGAGTTGCACATCGGTGCAAATGGTAGGAGGGATTATGAAATACAACGGGAACGTTGTCGGTGTGAAACCATTTATTTTAAGCGTTATTTCAAAGTTCACTTTAACGATTCAAAACTCAGCCAACGCCCAAATATAGTGAATAAAGAAAATTTACTTTCGCTATTTGATAACGTCGTCTGTGATATTAAACTTTTTTTTAATGCCATGTTTTTTCAGAACCTGGGTAATCTTGTTTCTTGAAAGCTTCATTTGGAAATTGCCATGTTCTCTAGTAAATATCACTTGTTTTGCCATCAACCAAGTTTTCAATACATAGTCGTCTTACCACCGTATATACTCGTGTATAAACCGACTTCATGTATAGTCCGACCTCTGAATATTTTTTTTAATGAAAATCCTGATGTTTTTTTTTCATATAAACGGAGCAATAAGTTCAGAGTAATACTAGTTGGCCTACCGTAGCCAAGTATTGCAGTAATGGGCATCGTCATTTTACTGTTTGTGTTGGTTCCTTTTATACGGCTTATCAACCCTTTGCAGGTTATTTAAAGCCAGAATATATTTTTTAATTGTAAGATTTTTTTTAAAGATAATAAGTGGCTTAGTGATACAAGTATTACTAGTTTTGTAACCTAGGAAAATGTTACTGAATAAAAATAACTAAAACGAAGATAGCAAATGGTTTGGTTTACGGCATATCAACCTCGATGGGTTATTTAATACCGGCAAAATTTTTATTCCTGGTAATATTTTGTTTTGTCAAAAATCTATTTTTGGTAATAATTTTTTCCTTCAAAAATGTATTGCTGGTAATATATTTCTCCCTCAAAAATATATAGCTGGTAATATTTTTTTCCAAAAATGTATTGCTGGTAATTTTTTTTTTCGAAAATGTATTCCTGGTAATATTTTTTTTTCTTCAAAAAATTATTTCTGATAATAATTTTTATAAAGTATTTCTCGAAATAAAGCATATTTTTACACTTTCATAGTGTTTTTGCCCCAGTTTCGGGGTTAACTATTTGCCCATAGCTGGGACCCCAAAAGCTGCTAACACGCCGGGTTAGGGCCGACCTGGAGACATTAGCAATTAAGAAGTGGTTCCACGCTCCTGAAAACCTCCTGATCAGAGGCCTTGCTTCTGGACGTAGTTTATCGTCATACCCAGGACGCGGATGTAGTTTATCGTCTTACCCAGGACGCGGATGTAGTTTATCGTCATACCCAGGACGCGGATGTAGGTTATCGTTTTACCCAGGACGCGGATGTAGTTTATCGTTATACCCAGGACGAGGATGTAGGTTATCGTCATACCCAGGACGCGGATGTAGTTTATCGTCATACCCAGGACGGGTTGGAAATGGAACGATAATTACAACAGGAACAACATAAGAGATTTGCCAACGGCGTGTAGTAAGTAATCGACTGCTAGAAAGAAATCAACGTTGTTGTTCATGATGATGGTCGTCTTCGAGTATAGAATCCAGAGGTTAGCAGTGAATATTTCGAAGACAGTAGGAAAGCGTTGTTCAGGTTAGCAGTGGATATTTTGGTAAAAGTAGCAGAGGGTAGTTTGTCCTTCTGTTTCTATTCGCTTGACAAGCTGAAACTGGACATTCGGGTAGAGTAAACAAAATGGCCGCCTTTATACACGACGGATTGAATATTCTACGTCTTCTGATTGGTTAACCTTCTATTGGTGGACTATAAAGTGAGTCAAGTCATTTGGGCTAACTCACTAGTAGATATATATACACAAAAAACTGCAACAAACGTGAATCCCAAGTGGAAGATATACACAATCCACCCCACGTGGTCAGATGGTTTATTGTGGGGTATCCGAGCACGTATGCTCGGCCAAAAATTCCCCGTAGACCGAGTAAAAACGTGATCGGTTAGTTGTCTCCCGAGACGAGACTCTGCTCTTCGACACAGCCTCATCTGTGCATCCTCTCTGCCTGGGGGTAGAGAGTTTGACCAGCACACTTGGAAGTGAATTCCTAAGTGCAAGATATCCGCTAACCACCCCACGTGGTCAGATGTCGCACAAGGCCGACTTTTATTTTGGGGTATCCGAGCCCATAGGCTCGGGCAAAATTCTCCGTAGACCTTGGAAAAAAAAAAAACAATGGGGTCGGGTAGCTGTTTTCCGAGACGACACTCTACCCTTCGACGCAGCCTCTTCTGGGCATCCTTAATGACCAGAGGCAGAAAGTTTTGACCAGCACACTTGGAAGTGAACGCGCAAGTGGAAGATATCCACTGACCACCCAACGTGGTCAGATGTAGCACAAGGCCGAGTTTTATTGTGGGATATCCGAGCTTTCATAGAGGTATCATAGAGTCGGGCAAAAATTCCCTGTAGACCCCGTAAAAAAACGGAGCTGGGTAGCTGTTTCCCCAGATGTGACCCTGCCTTTCGACATAGCCTCGTCTGGGGACCCTCTCTACCCGGAGGCAGATAGTTTGACCAGCACACTTGGAAGTGAATTCCCAAATAGAAGACCACGTACGGTATATACCACTGTATTCATAGGAACTGGGATATACCGATTATAGTCCATAGGAACGGTATGACAAATAAATAACCCATATCTGAGGGGAGAAGAGCTGTATTCATACGTTTCCTAAGAGTATTTGCGCGTAAATAAATACAACAAACCCAACAGGAATTGGAACTCGACTCTCCAATTAACAATTTTGAACCATTATCGATTACCCCAACCATACATCCAAGTTAGAGCACCAGTTATTCCTCAGAGGTTACCCATCTAGCTACTGATCAGGCTTGACGTTGCTTCGATGATTATACGGCAATCGATATTTAAACGTGAATTGGTCTTAAGCCTCTTATACTGTAAGACTTTGTATATAATTTACATATGAATATTGGGGTATGCTTTTATAATTCTCCACAATTTTGTTGATCTTTTTAACAGAGAATTCTTAGGATTTCTTACTCCTGAGCATGCAACATCTGTCTGGCCATGCGTAAATATTTCTTTATGGTTCCAAATTCCAACTTTTCGAAGCGATTGGCTTTGTGATTTGTTTATAATTTCCAAAAACGCAAGGCGGACTGGAAACAGGTTTCATGTATATATTTGTTGTGGTAGGATCCACCTAATTTGCATAGTGGAGTACCGACCATATAAATATGGTTGGTACCGGGAAGAGAGGAAGGAATCAAAAGATTCAACCAGAGACTCTACCCAACTGCGACCTAGTCAACACATTCTTCAGGAACGGCCTTACCAGGAATATACAAAAGACTATATGAAGGAAAATACATACGGAAAAAACAAACAAAAATCCTTATATACAATTTATACTGTTTTAATGTTAATATGTCAACGTCGGACGTTTCGGTCTAATAAACCATCTTCAGGACATATTCATAAATTATAACATTATCAATACAACATGTCGGATCTATATCCATATATTTGCTTACAAAAGACTATATGTAAATATTGTGTACACTTTCTTGTTTCAATACATTTTGTTCTAAGTACATTTTGTGTTGCATTATTATTCCATGCATTAGTCAAGTTTCAACAATATTAAATCTTAAAGAAAAGATATACAAAAAACAGTATTTCATTTTTATTAAATAAGTATTTGTTATCTTAATCAATGAATTGTTTTTAAAATAGTGGGAATATTTTGTTAAATAATAAAACTTTTACTTTTTCCAAATAATGTATGAAAATCTATTGTAATAAGCAATGCATCCTAGTATTAGGTTGGTGCAAAAATAATGTCGTTTTTGACGTTAAGCTGAACGTCAAAAAAACGGCATTATTTTTGCACCAACCTAATAAAACCAGCTGTACTTTGTACACCTTATCTGTTTGTATTTCCTCCCCAAATTTGGTTTCGATTGGTCAATGTACGGCTATTTTAGAGGGTGTGAGACTGTCGGATGGAAGTCACAGAATTTTATATGTAGATTCAATAGCAATAATGTTTAAGCATGCATTTCATCGTCAGGTTGACGAAGATATTTCAAGCAAGTTGTTAAGAAAAGCTCCGGTGAATACCGTCAGTCGTGGCAAGTCAGACTAGCAGTCTCAGCAGCAGGTGGATTAGGGTTTAAGGCTCAGGATCTTAGGATTATCCCAAGGCCCGTAAATTTCATGACATTGTAATTATGAATTCAAGTTTTGGACAGACTTAGACGCAGCGGAATCAGAGCGAATATTTATTGAGCTTGACTGGATAAGATCAAATCGAGATATCACTAGATATGAAGAGTGCAAGGCGAACATTCCATCTCTTAAATTAAATAAAGGATTCAGTTCGAAATTACCAGAACGTTACCCTTATTGACAACCATCTGATGATGGCAGGTTTACAATGCTCGAAACGTTGTCATGATAAAACAAAATACAGTATAAGAGACCGAGTGTAAACAATGTAAATAACGATATTTTTTATTCATATAAATTCATATCCACATTATTCAGTCATGAAATTATCTTCCCTGGATTTATCAGTTGTTGGATAAGATTTTTGCTAAACTTTGTAATCTATCTAAAAAAGTAACTCAAGTTTTGATTCGAAAATTGTTTTGATGATTTGAAAGAACCGAATGATAGCCGGAGGGTGAATAAGGGGTGTATGTCGGGGATTCCCCACCCCAACATATTTTGATCGTTTTACTGCGGCGAATTTAGAATACAAATATATTAAAACACATTTTGACAAGAATTATTTCCTCTTAATCTGCAGCATTTAGTCTACCTTTCAATAATTCTTCTAGGACGAGAGCTTATCTATCTATCTATCTATCTATCTATCTATCTATCTATCTATCACAGTGTGTTCCTATCTATCTATCTATCTATCTATCTATCTATCTATCTATCTATTCATCATATTAAAGCAATGTTCTTATTCAGCATTTCAGCTTGCTAGATATTTATAAGCGAAGTTTATACCCCCATTTACTACACACACACACACACACACACACATATATATATATATATATGTGTGTGTGTGTATGTGTGTGTGCAATATGTATATATACATACAGAGACACACACACACACACACACACACACACACACACATATATATATATATATATAAACAATTGAAAACTACAGATAAAGTTCATTTTCTTCAGAAATAGTTATTCATTCCTGTAGTTTACAGCTACTAATAAGCAGGTTTATGTGTGTATACATATATATATATATATATATATATATATATATATATATATATATATATATATATATATATATACATTTATATATATATGAGTGTGTGTGTGTGTGTGGATCAGGTGTCTTTGTGTATTTCATTTTGATGTGTTGAATTTCGAAGTTATGGTCAGAAGACAAGATCAGTTCATATTCGGAAAAAGCAGCATTTGTTTTGATGTATATCTAAATTCATCACACACTACGAAAACTTATGACTGCGAAACATCGATATTGGCTTTCTCAGCGTGTACAAACTCACAGTACGGCTAATAAGGCACAAGTTGATTGTGGCATTTTTAGGTAAAGGATGAAAAGCATCACAACACACAGTTCATCTATCCTTTGTTTTGTGTGGAACGTATAACCTCAAGCCATTCAGAATATCCGTGACAAACAATATTCTTCATTGCAACTGGTACTTATACTAGATAACCTTATCTTTTTCCCGCTTGAATAAGGTGAATGGTAAATTACGTTTGCAGCGTCGTCCTTGATCTGTACTGACGCCATAATAATGTTATTATTTGATTTTATGTTAAAGTATATCTTGTGAAATTTTTATCGTGATACGCGCACCGAAAGGAAATTGCTCTAATACCGTCTAGCTACAACATTAATTCTGTGCAAATTTCATTGCTTATAGCAACAAATTCTAGTTTTATGACCTAATAAAACATTAAAAGAATCTCTTTTAAAAAGTTTTAGCTTTAAGGGACGTAAATTATTTACTTTTAATCAGTAGATGATAGCATGTACTTGTCCGCCTTCGAGCAAGTTTGTTTTTAATGATGTTCTGACAAGAAGTTTTGAAAAATATGAACTACTGGGCAAAAATCATAGGATACATTTATTTTATTCTTTTATATAATGCCACAGAAACACATATATATATATACTCACAGACAACTTAAGCCTTGAAGATAATCTCAGTTAGAGATTGAAAGTAATCGGGGGAAAAAAAAACTATTCGAAAGAAAATTTTGGTAGTTTTCTTAATTTTCTAAATCTACCAAAAAATTAATCTGCGACCTTGAAAGGATTACAACCAAAACTAATCGACATGATATGTCTAAATTATTTAAGCATATCTCTTTATATATATATATATATATATATATATATATATATATATATATATATATATATATAATAATGGACTCTCCCGTCGGTTTCGTCGTATGAGGATCTGACAGCTTATTGATTCAGTTATGAAAGTTTGTGCGATAAACTTAAGTGGCATTTAAGACCCGCTAGTGATTTACAAAGGAGGCCACATATGGAGCAAGTGTGAGGATTGTGAGATGAGATCACTGTTAGATTGTCTGATCTTTTAGATCTTGATCTCGCTTTTTGAAGATGGTTCAGACAAGCAGATTGAAAATTGCTGAGTTCACTAAATCACGTTGATCTCCATTCTACCCACTCTAAAGCTAAGTGCATATATATATGTCCGATGCAATAAGAACGTAAGTAATATAGTGAGTAAACAGTTTTGTCTATATGATAAAATTATTATTATTATTATATATATATATATATATATATATATATATAAATATATAGAAATTAAGAACATTATAAAAAAATGCATAACACCTGTTGACAATAGAAAAAAAAATTAGATTAATTATTTATTACAAAAAATGTAAACCTCCAACCTTATAGATAAAAATAATAATTAACCTCTTAGAACAAAATTAAATAGGGCAAATATTATTTACGAATTTAAATGCCCATTAAGTAATTGTGTTCCTGATCAATCAAAATTCGTAAATAATTATATAGGCCATACTACAACATGTTTGACACACAGACACAGTCTACACCTTTCTGACGATAGCTCAATTAGATCTCATTTAAATATTCATGGAGACCTATCGGGCACTATCCGTAACATACTTGTTGACATCGCTAATATAATAGCATCATCTACATGCCAGAAAAAGGCTAAAAATAATGGAAGACTTATTAATAAAAAATAGGCCAACGCTTAATAATATTAACTTTGAACATGGACACAGTATCTTGACCGTGTTTTGAAAAATGAAAACATTTTATGAAACATACATGCAACAAACCATTTCTTATTTAACAGTTAAAATATTTAATCCTTGAAAATGGCTAAATGTATAGCCGAAGGCGCTCGAATGAAAAGAAAATTCAGACAGTTTTTATATAATTTATCATTTGAAAAGAAAAAAAATTAGATCGCATGAGAAATTGTATAAAATTAAATAAAAAGCAACTTGCCTGCCGTATTCAATGAAATGTGCATGAAAGGATTGTTGCCTAAACACACACACACACACATATATATATATATATATATATATATATATATATATATATATATATATATAGAGAGAGAGAGAGAGAGAGAGAGAGTGAATATTGAAGTCAACACTCAGAGGTAATAGGCTGTTTCATGCTGGACGCAATCGTCAGGCCGCCGATTGCATCCAGCATGAAACAGCCTGTCGCCTCTGAGTGTTGACTTCAATGTCCACTTTTACATTTATATTTACATACACTCTAGCTCTGATATTGAGCATTTTATCCCATAAATATAGCACACCTTAAATCTCTCTATCTCTCTCTCTCGATATATATATATATATATATATATATATATATATATATAATACTTTTATATAATGCCACTAGAACGCGGGCGGGTACAGGGAGTGAAAGTGAAAGAGAATGAGAAGACTGGGTAAGAGACGACCGGGTTCAAGAAGACAGATGATAGCGATTGACGTTGATAGCGATTGAAGATTACAGTTACCGGGAAAGCAAGAGATCGGAACGGATTTCCCCAGGTAGAAAGTTCGAGAAAATAAACTTTTAGAGTAGTAGTCTACAAACATAGATGATGTTAACGCCCGTTCCCTCTTGCTGGTGATCAGTTCCCCGCACAGAAGGACCTTCGGAATTCTCCCAACAAACATACGGTGTACCTGCCCGAGCCAGCGTAGTCGGCTCTGTTATAGAAGGGCGTATATAACATAAATATGTATGCATGTATTTAAGTATTTATGTCTGTCTGAAGCATAACATAATTGTACATAGGGACAGGCAAATTTCCAGCATAGGTAACACAGAAAAACTTTATGTTTGCCACGTGTGTAAGAGAAGTTGTAAAAGAATCGCGTATAGTCCCACAGCAGAGCGATAACTCGGGTATGAATAGGTTGGGTTTATTTTGTTTTACGGCATATCAATCTCAATGGGTTATTTAATGCCGACATATTTTTTAGAACAGATTCGTTTGTTTGTTTGTTTAACGGCACATCAACCCTTTATGGGTCATTTAATGCCGAAATTTATTTTTTTTTTTTTGAAGCATTAGTAACTTATTTTACAAAACTGTATTTCTGGTAGCTTTACTATACAAAAAAAAGAAAAAACAAAAAAAACATTATTTTTATACTTTCATCGTGTTTTGACCCTAGTTTGGTTTTTAACAATTTGCTCATAGTTGGGACCCTAACAGGTGCTGCCACCCAGGGTCAGGGTGGATCTCGGAACAACAGCAATTAAGAGGTGGTTCCAAGCTCCTCAAAACCTCCTGATCAGAGGCCTTGCTGCCGGATGTAGTTTATCGTCATACCGAGGACATGATGGAAATAAAAAAATTCTGATTCGCAATTACAAAGCGACCAAGTGAAGTGACAATCATTATGTAGTTCTTTTTCCATGTATGCATGTATATGTGAACGTGTGCGCGCGTATGTGTATGCGTGTGTATGTATGTATGTATGTGTGTGTATGTGTGTCCGTTTGTGTGTGCGCTTATGTGCATTCGTACGTGTGTATGTATGTATATGTGTGTGTAAGAGCACACCTTTGTGCGTATGTTTGCGTATGTCTGTACGTGTGTGTATATGTGTGTACGTGTGTTTGTACGTACGTGCATGTATGTGTGTTAGTGTGCACGTGTGTGTGCGTCTGTGTGTATATGTGTGTACGTGTGTTTGTACGTATGTGCATGTATGTGTGCACGTGTGTGTGCGTCTGTGTGTGTATGTGTGTACGTGTGCGTGCGTATGTGTACATATGTGTGTGTGTGTACGTATGTGTACATATGTGTGTGTGTATGTGTGTAAAATACAAGTGAATATGGCCGCGAAGATAGTATTAATAAAAAAAGGCAAGAAGGTAACTCATATTTGAGACGCGTTTCGTTCACTGAAGAACCTCGCCAATGACAAATGAGAAAAACCGTATTTCTGAACACAGCAAAAGTATTGTTGAGAAAAAAAAATGTTACGCTTTCAAATTTAATTCTGTCGACATTATGAAAATGAACGTTAAATATGGAGGCGTCTAAGTGATATAATTTTGGTATGTTGTTAAACGAAAGTGATTTAACTATGTTGTGTTTATTATTAATATTTATTATTAATAATATAAAAAAAATCGTCGAATGTGTCCAGATTGTCCCCTTTTAAGATATGGACTTAGAGATAAGCGTATCTGCATCTTCAACGCATTTCTTTGTTTTTTCAATGATTTTCACTGTTTGCAAAGAGTGAGAGCCACTCTAGGTAGAGGGTTACCGAGTGTGAGGTATCGTTTATGCAGTTATGTAAGGAAGATAATGATTGAAATTAGACTTGAACTGATTAAAATTGTATTGATGGATTATCTTGACGTAGAATTATAAGCGATATTTGTTGTATTTCGTCCCCTCCCACTACATAT